TGTAGAATCAGTACTGAAAGTATTGTCGAAGGGTTCATTTGCACTTTAAATATGATTGCAATTAAATCCCAAATTGTACTCTGTAGAGTCCCAATTAAATTGCTCAATTTTTTTGAGTGTGTCATAAACAAAAAATCGCACAATCTTCTCGTACAATTCTGAATTTATAGATACTCGTGATGTTTTGAAAGTTCTCAAACTGAACTCGCCTAAAGGCTCGTCCAATTTTGAAAACTTACAAAACATCACTCGTACCTATCAATAGTCCCCTTCACAGTTCCCCGCGCCATCTCGAAAGGTAGCCAGGCCTTTGCATAGAAGCGAGACGAACGGTGACCTTGCAATGATAGAGACCTCTTTTTAACACCTTGGACAATTATTCACATGTCTCTATGATTCCAAGCTCACCGTTCGTTTCGCTTCGATGCAAATGCACGGCTACCTATCAAGATGGCGCAAGGAACTGTGAAGGGGACTATTATTCCGATTTATACTCAAGATCGGGCGATGTCCTATACTAATTGATCTGGTTTGTTTGTTTAATAGTTTCTGTTCAAAATCTTTGGTGTCCGTGAGTTTCTCCCTTCTGATTTCTTAATCAAGTGGTTCGCAAAAAGAGTCTGTCAGTCGTCTACTGTGCTGGAAATGGCTTGCTCTGATTTTCTGTTCTTGATTGGTGGTTACGACAAGAAGCAGCTCAACGAGGTCAGTTGGACGGACTCGTTTTGTTTCGTGATCTAAGTCAGGGCATGGCTAACTCACAGATCTAACCCTGAAACAACCTCTGGGCTGATCTAAGTCAGGGCACGGCTAACTCACAGATTAAACCCTGAGACAACCTCTGGGCTGATCTAAGTCAGGGCATGGCTAACTCACAGATCGAACCCTGAAACAACTTCTGCGCTGATCTAAGTCAGGGCACGGCTAACTCACAGATCTAACCCTGAACCAACCTCTGGGCTGATCTAAGTCAGGGCACGGCTAACTCACAGATCTAACCCTGAAACAACCTCTGGGCTGATCTAAGTCAGGATATGGCTAACTTACAGATAGAACTCTGGAACAACCTCTGGGCTGATCTAAGTCAGG